AAACTGGACTCAACCAGCTATATTTATATATTTATAGATATGCAACAACAGTAATTAAAGAACAAACGCCATGGATTTGAGGGGAATCAAATGTTGGAGAGAGGAGAGGAAAGGAGAGAAATTATGTAATTACATTTGAATTTCAAAAAATTAAAACACATATTTCCTAATGAAAAGTTAAGTGCAAAACAGGCAGACAAGGAGGGTTCATAACTTTTCTTCACAACACTCAGCCTTGTGAAGTTAAGGTCATCAGTTTTTATTTTGAAATAACATTGCATTGATGCTGTATGGCTAAATGGATAAAATGCAAAAGAAAGAACTGGTGCATCTTTGATAAATATAATAATTTTTTAATTATATAGACAGTGCATTGAAGATGATAAAACTGGTCTTTAAGAAATAAATGTTCAAGTGGCCAGAGAAGGTATAATAGGATTTAATAAAAGCTGATATTCTTTTTTTAAAAAAAAAAAAAAGATCATCATCTTTGTTTGACTGATAAACAGATTAAACCTCAAAGAGTTTAGAGTTTATGATCAAGGTCACATAAACAGTACAACCAACAAAGGCCAGATTGCCAAAACAAACGTTTTGAGTTAACCTTTCCGCTGTACCAATCTAGTCTCCCAAGAGTTCTTTTCCCTTGGCTAAAGTTAGCTCTAACCAGCTCTAAAATCGCAGGCGTACTCCGAGAGTGACCTTTGAAAAGGAGAACACAAAAGGCAGACTTCTAGAATAGATGCCAAACCCAAAGCTGCATTGAAAAATGAGCCATTAACTCAGTGGCATGACACTTTTTCTTCTTGAAGCCATCACTCAAGAAATCGGGAACCTAAATGGGTTTTGAGAACAGCAAATATTGATGGGAACGAAAGCAGCCTGAAACCATGGTGAGCGTCCAATCACCCCTGTGCATCAATAGGGGAGTGCCATGCACTGCACTAGTAATAAGATAATTAGAGAGGCTTCATTATTATAATTGTAGGGCAGTGATATCTGAGTGACAAATTATAGGCTACATTAGAGCCAGAGGAAAAAAATCCTTATAACTTGAATTTGGTGGGGAAATGTAGACCTGTAGATCATTCTTTTATTTGTCATCCAGAAAATTGGGCCACATTCTTGCCTTTTCACTGCCCTGCTCTATGTCTAAATATAAATAAAATACCTTTTCAATCACTCGGTACTTCCATCTGCAAACTGGGTGTGGTCTTTGCTCGTCAAATTGTGTATAATGGAAGCTATACTTTTTTGAACTTTTTATTTTTTTTCAACATAATATTTTTATTGATTCTTTGGGGATTTCACATCATATACCCCCATCACATTTGCTTTCCAGTACGGCCCTGCTCATACCTCCTCCCACCCTTGTGACCTTCCCCCAGCATAAAAAATGTGCAGTTTATGTTAGATATATACCCACTGGACCATGGTCAAACTCTCAGTGGCCTTCTCCTTAAATAGAACTGAGTTGTTCCTCTGCCACACACCCGCCAGAAGCCATCTATTGTGGAGGACAACACTTAGCATCCTATCACAGTTTTTACGAGTTCTCTTCCATGGCTTCCTATTTCGGCTGTTACTCTTTCCTTTGTTGGTGTGGGCAGGGAGGGGGAGGTTTGGGTAGAGGAAGGGATCGTCACGGAAGTCATCCATGTCCTTATTTCTCCTCTGAGCATCTGCACTCATTGATATCATTGTCAAAGCATGAATCATGGTCTCCACACCGTTTCTGGTGTCAGCACAGATCACAAACAGGGCTCATGGTTGCACCAGGACCACGGACCCAGACAAGGCCTCCAGATGCAGCCAAGGACCATGGCCAATCAATTTGCCTTCAAGCTGCAGCATAGGTCATGGACATCTGGTTGGCTTTCAGTGATAACACAGGCCAAGGGTATCAACACAGACCCCAAATGCAGTAGGACCATGGACCCCTGGTCTTAC